AACCTTAAATAATTAATATTGGGGCAATTTTATTTTGCCATTAACTTTTAACAAACTTCTATCAAATTAGGGCTTAAAGTGCAATTTTTTTTAAATAAATTTGACGAACATTTGTTGAAAGTTAATGATAAGAGTAAAATTATTTAGATTTTAATTATTTAGAGTTTAAAATACACCTTTATAAAGTTTATGGTTCAATTCGCGCCCCTGAACATATAGTTTAGGATTTAAATTACATATTAACACAACAATTAAATATTGAACACCATAACTTAATATTTTTTTCACACGAGGCACATAAAATACTTCTCCCTCCATTTAAAAATATAAAACATTTTAATTGAATATTATCTCTCAATAAAATAGTTACTAGTCTCTAAACTAACTCTATTTTTTCATATTTATCTTTATTAAACACCCTTAAAAAATAAAATAATCTATTCAATAGGGGCAATTTAAAAAAAATAATGATTACGCCTTAATAGACTCGAAATATCTTACATTTTTATTATTCAACCTTTTAAAAAATACATTATATTTTTGAATGGAGGGAATATTTGTTAGGCATATTTAAAAATTAATATAATATGCAAAATATACTTTTTTCTATTACTATTCATTTATTATTGATTAGTTTTATTCTTTTAAAACATAAAAGGGTTAATATGTAATTTGAACCCTCAACTATAGGTCTAGAGATGATTTGAACCCTAAAGCTTTAAAAATATGCATTCTAAACCGTAAACAATTATTGGAGCAATTTTGCCTCTGTCGTTAACTTTCAACAAATTTCGTTCAAATTGGGGTCTAAAATGCAATTCTCCCTAAATGAATTTCATGGATGTTTATTGAAAGTTATCGACAAGAGCAAAATTATCCCAACTTTAATTGTTTAGAATTCAGAATGTATCTTTTTAAAGTCTAAGTTTCAAATCGCCCCTAGATTTATATTTAGGATCCAAATTACATATTAACCAATGTTTTTAGAATCAAACAGAATATTGAACCACGAAGGTTAGTGGTTCACAGTTTGCATAATTCAATCGAGTTGGACCAATAATTAAACCAATAACGTAATAATTAAATTTAAAAAATTATATATGTCATTAATAATGTAAATATAAGAAATAAATATAAAATTTTTACTTAACTTAAAAATAAAACTGAATAATTTAAGTTTATCATAACTTAATAGCTACATGATACAACATAATCTGAAATGATTAAAAAAAATTAGTCATTTTCTAAAAAAAATTTAAAAAAGAATTTATTGAACTATTTTTTTAAAAAAAATTGGGTTTAATTTTCAGCTTGATCTTGATTCCTAGTTTGATCGTCGGTCTAAAACGGCCCCATCTAGCTAAACCCTCAGAATGATTTTTACATGCTGATAAAGCCAAAATCTAGACCAATCGATGATTCGACCGTCTAACTGTCCGGTCTATTTTTTAATCACTGATATTAACCTAACAAGTAAATACTAAACACTATAACTTAATATTTCTTTCATGCGAGGTGCATAAAATACTACTCCCTTTATTCAAAAATGTAAAATATTTTTAACTAAATCTCACCTCTCAATAAAGTAGTAACTAATATTTGAACTCATCCTATATTTTTATATTTATATCTATTTGACACCTTAAAAAATAAAGTAATTTATTCAATAGGAGAGCTTTTTTAAAAAAAAGATAATGATTACACTTTAAAAAATTTAAAATATTTTACATTTTTTAACATTTAACTTCTCAAAATATGACTTACATTTTTAAATGTAGGGAATATCTATTAGAAAAGAAATGTAGTAACATAGGTTTGCATGATTTTTTTTAAAACTATACCTATTTTTAAAATTTAAATTTTGTTTGAAAATTATGTAAAAAATTGGGATAAATATAAAATGAAAAGAAAAAATAGTTTCGCAGGATAAGATGCATTGTCAGTGATTATTAAATACTGCAAGTCCATGCAGTTTTCACATTTTATTTTGGCTAATAATTAATTGTTTATTCATACTTTACACAAAAACTCTCAATGCCTGAAACTTTATTGACCAACTAAATGTTTTTTTTCGTACGGCTGCCTTTTATAATCGATAATAATATTGATTTAAAGTATAAAATAGGAAGTGTTAAATTATTCATAAGCAATAATTAGTATATTAGTACGGATTATCTTATAGTGGCATAGGAGTGTATTATTGGGTTTATTTTCTTGATATTCTGCCACTTGTCCCTGACCAGTGTGTCGATCAGGCATCTCGAAATGTACCAAATCTTTCATGACTCATACCTGCTTCCTTAGAATCATATATAACCGCAATTTTTTTTTAAAAAATATCCTTTCATGAATTGTACGGTTCAAAAGTATGCTCTATAAGCTAAGAGTGTTTTATACATATCGGTGATTTCCATTTTTTAGCGTGTAGATGATAAAACAAATGTTAATTGAAAATAAAAACATGAATCGCTGGTAAAAATAATAATATTAATAATAATCACCGAGTTTCACACGCGGGCACGACCCCCACAGTTTTTTTTTTTTAAATCACGCAATAATCATCAGAGCTTAGCTTGAAGCAGAGCGGATCCCGGACTAGCGAGGGCAATTTATTTAAAAATTAATTAGTAATTAAATGTCTTGTAAATTTTTTAAAAAATAATTTCATGTTTTGGAATGAAGACTGAAATGAATTTAAAGTTTAAAATATCAAAATTAGAGGGTAAAAATGTGAAAACCTAAATATCTAAATATATAATTTTCTTCAAGTGAGGTGCGAGACGCTCGAGCGTCTCTACTTGTTATGGCCGTCATACTTGTCACCACTGTAAAACACAATGATCTCCGAGTTACTTGGCGAAGGTGAAGGACATCACGTAAGCCAAGTCGCCGATATATAAAGAGATGCGTCGCTTGCGTAACAGTCAAACACACTCCCTCACTCTGCTTTCCAAACAACATTGTTGCTTCCCAACTTAATTCTATAAACACCAACATCCCCATCACCTGACAAGCCCATATTTTTTTGGATTATTAACATCTCACTTGTCGTTAATGGATTACATCATAGGAAACTATTCCTCATCAGCCCATCCATTCATGCTACTTCTTTGGGCGGCTATTCATTCCTTTTCGCTCAACAACATTGCATTACGTGTAATGTCTTCTCCTTTCACAAAGAACAAACTCCATTTTAAAAAGAAACAAAAAGGCAAGGACGTGACCTGAGCCACCGTTATTTTAATTAGATCTATAGACTTGATAATATATAAACTCGTACGACACAGTTGTTTTATACGATTAAAAACAACCGAGGTGGTGTAGAAGCACACGAAACACTACTAAATGGCTGTTTGTATAATCCTTAAAAGTACATTCAAAAGTTATATGCTTTTGCCAAATCTAATAAATAGTTGGATCCTAAATCAACTTTTATCAAATATAAATTAAAAACCAAACATACTTTAAGTGTTTTTATTGGTCTCACTAGGGATAATATGCCTTCAAGAAAAGACAATTAGTCAACCATTAGAGGCATTCGTTTGGAATCCCATCTGTTTAACAATAGGACGAAAAATTCGATTCCTCCGGAATAGAGTGATCACCCATTAACGCAATTCTGCCAACGTTGTGTGTCGTCGATAAGACTGAAAGAGACATCGAATTGTTAAGCCCAGTTGAATGAAGTGACCATGGGCTTAGCCCAACTTCATCACTGCCTCCGGATGTCGAACCTCTTTATCTCAGGCTCACGCCAACGTTTTTTGGTCACACGATTTTCATGTACTCATATACTATGAAATATCAAATTTTTTTTTTTCCTGGCCAACAAACTCCAGCATTAATTCAATTCAACCAACAGCAATGAAGGACATGGGAGGGACCTAATCCTGGAGACGATTTGATGAAGTAGGTTCGCGTTGTTCTTACTTAGCTACAAATGACTAGAAGTAGCCTATTAAACTAACACTCTTAAATTTGCAACTTTTTAAATTTATATTCATAACTCATTTCTTTTAGTAAAATTTTAAAAGATTAGTTATTATTAAAATAATCTTTTGATCCTAAATCTCATTCTTCCTACATTTTGTACGCAGAGCAATTCTCCGGGGAAAAAATAAGTTGTAACGATAAGCCGAGTAATCAAACTGCTATTATATAGTAATGGTACTATTTTTTTTTTTTTGATACAAAGTAATGGTCCTAATTTTTTGAGTCAAATATTTTAACCACTTTTTTATTTTTCTTTAATTATACAGTATTACAGACTTCTCATTTATTTTAAAAATATAAAATCTAGTTCAATTGGTTAACTTTGTCAGGAATATTCTAAAAAGATTCTAAAAGCTTTTTTAATTAAAATTTATATTACAAAAATTTTATTGACTAATTAACCCCTCATCTTAATAAATCTTAAATTATATATTTTGACAGTTACATAATTTTATTGTAAAAAGCATGTTCACAAATTTTAAATTTAAATTTAAATTATTTATATAATCTTTTAAACTTATATGATTTTATGTTATGTTATTAACAAAAATATATTTTTAACAATTTTAAAAAATATAAACAATCAAGTTTCAATAAAGTTTCAATAAATTGATGAAAATTAAAATAATAAAATTTTATAATATGATAAAAATTAATAAATTTTATAATAAAATAAAAATTTCAAAATACATTTATTATATTTTTAGTTGTATGCAATAATATTTTTTGAAAAATATGAATTTTTAAAAAATTCTTATGTTAAATAGAGTATTTTGGTTAAATTAAAAGTTTAAAAGTCAAATTTAATAATAAATTAATTGTTAGATAAATGAAAATGAAATATTAAATATACAAGAAAGATTTATATAATATATATATTTTAATTTTTTAAAAATTTTATGTACATTTTCAAAACAGAAAGAAAGTCTGTACGATTAAATCATAATAAAAAGTTGATCAGTGTATTTTACTCTAATGTTTTCCATCATCATTTTTTTTTTTTTTTGGGCATGAATCTCCAGTAAAGTTCTGAAGCCTTGCTTGCTATTTGCCAACTTGATTTTCAGTCGCCGTCGTGGGGCAACTGCTTTGGGTCTTGGACATTAACGACGGAAACATGGTGTCACTCCGCTTCCCTTTCTCGTTTTCTCAGCCTTCGGGCCATCCTCAGCGGCACCGCCACTCACGCCCATTCTCTGCCGCAAAAGTTGCCGTCGCAGCCGTCGCGACCGCTGCCGGAGCCACCGCTGCATGTGCCTCCTCCCGAAACCCAATCTCACAGCACCCCTTTCTTCAGAATGCTTTGAATTTCTTTTTCTCTCCTGGAAATTCGCTGCCTTTGTGGGCTTCTCTGAGTTTGGCTGATAGTTCTCAGCCCGTTACGGAGCCAAAGACGGGAGCGTCATTTCCAGCAGCTCTGGGCGATTCGCAGAAAATTTGCGGAGTGGGGATACGCAAGAAAAGCATTCTGGGATTGAAGAACATTGATGTCTATGCATTCGGTATGACATTCAACTCACCACAGTATCGTTGGTTTAAATGCGGGCGGCATTTTTCTTGGTAATATATTTCAGATGTTGATTGCCAGAAGGAGCTTTTCTTGATGATTTCTGGCTCTATGCCTGCAATCTTATTTTAGCATTTTCTCGCATACCCTATTTACCATTTACTTTTAATGCTCATAGTGTAATGGTGATGGCGGGGAACTTTCTGTCTCCTAAATTCTAAATGCTGCCTCCGCATGGCTGCACTGTGAATTACTTTATCCATCATGCAAGCATTTTACATTATCTTAAACTTCTTTTAATGGACTAAAAAATGCCACTAATTCTATTTCCCTCCTTGGCTCTAAATGATGCAATTTCTTGGGATGTTCCAAAGGGGCATAACGAAGTCGAAGCTTTTGTAATTTTGTTGTTTTTATGTATTCAACAAAAAATGTTTATAATATTTTGCAGGTGTTTACGTTGATGATAATGACATTAAGAAATTACTTGCTGAGAAATACGGAAATTTTCTTCCTCTGAATTGAAGGGAAAAAAGGACTTTATTGAAGATCTTATGGAAAATGATATTTGCATGACAGTTAGACTCCAAATAGTCTATGGTAAATTGAGCATCCGCTCTGTACGTAGTGCATTTGAAGAGTCAGTGGGAAGCAGACTGCAAAAATTTGGGGGATCAGATAATAAAGAGTTGCTTCAAAGGTGAATGGCTCCTTCAATTGCTGGTGTCCTTTCTATGCATTGAAAATTAGAGTCACTATATCTCATGTGTGTAAAATTTTTTCTGTTATGGTTTACTCTCCAATTTTTTGAATCCTCTCTCGCACATCCACACAAGTGATTTTTATTTGCTGCTGATGGACGAAAGCACAGGAAATTCTAGTCTAAATATCTGTGTGTGTGAGAGCAGGTGGTTTCCTTAATCTAATTCTTGTATATTATAATATTACTTCACTAGCCAGCTATGATGTAGGTTTACTTCTCAGTTTAAAGATGAATACAAAATACCACGAGGATCAGTAATTCATCTCTCAAGAGATCGGGATCATGTTCTTCGAACATCAAGTAAGATATCCCTCTCCATGCTTCGTGAAATTTTCAAATCAGATATTCTGAACAAAGATCCAGAAGCTTCAGCAAAGAAACCATGCGTCTGTTAGTTAGAGGCTGATTTTAGAATTTGTTAATTAACTCTTCTATTAGGACTTATCTCGAACTTACACGAGTTTTTCCCAGTAACATATTCCCAGTTGGTTACATAAAGCTAGGGCATGAAGCTGACAAGCTGTTTCATCCTGCGAAAGTGCATTTGACCCGAGACAAACTGTTATATATATATATATATACGTCTCTGTCATGGTAAACTGCAACAAGAACCTTCAATTTCATCTTGTTTGTTCCTTGTAGTTGATGGAAAGGAAGTGGGAAGCATCCAAAGTAAGCTACTCTGTCGGTCAGTTCTAGATTTATACATCGGGGAGGAACCATTTGATAAAAAAGCCAAAGAAGATGTTGAGCTCAACCTGGCTTCTTACCTCCAGAAATAGACTGCTGTTATCAAGAATCAGGACGTGTATGGATTTTAACCTTCTCATTTCTTCTATATGATTTTATTATATGCAATCAAAGAGATACAAAACACAACAGATGTCTATGGGGTTTGCTTCCATTCTTTATTCTTATCTTCTCTGTTTTACCTATTTCCCCCCTCTAAATATACTGCATTTGATTGCTTTAATGAATGCAGAGAATCATTGGCATGTACTGAGCAATCTAGGAATGGTTTTCGATGCGTAATAGCTTGATGTTCTAAGATGCTGTTGCAGGCATGTAAGTTATAGTATTTATTTTCATTTTGCACAGGTGCAAAATATATGAATGGATGAACGTCGTGCGGTGTGAGTGTGACCCATCAATCACTTTTTGTAATTTATGCTTGATCGCCCTTTATGATTATCGTTCTAGTGTCTTGTGCTGTTGTGCATTACAACATACTCCTTTTGCTTTTATGTATGCTATAAAGAGCATTGACGCTATTTATTAACCTTTTTATTTCTTTGAGAAGTAGTTTTATTACTTTATTATCCTTCTTCATGCATGTTTGGACAGTAAAAACAGCGCTTAATGCATAATTGCGGGCTCCTTCGTCTCTGACTTATGTTTCTTTTTCGATTTGGCTGCAAAGTACGGTGATATTAATTCTAAAACATAACGGTCATTTACATCACTCTATGAAAGAGAACTTTGGCAATATGAGAGTTGATGGTCTCTGCATCAAAGTAGGCTGCGTAGTAGTAAGCCCTCGCAACAGCAAAGAATATGTTGTTGATATTGTATTCCATGGCATTTGGAGGATTCTGGACTTGAAGCACCAATTCAACAAGCTCTCTCATTTCTGATTCTATTTCGGGTGTAGTGCTGCAGTGTGTACTCCAGTGGCTGCTTCCATGAGCCTGGAAGCAGCAAAAATATTAGCGTCGTTGGAAAAATTTTCAAAATAGGTTTAATGTGTTCGGAATTGTTATTTGTCACTGACCTTGCTGGATTGGTAATTGCGGAGGCTATTGCAAACTGAATTAGTGACTTCCATCAATTTTTGATAGTGAGGATTCAACTGTAGCTCTTCTAGGCGATAGCCAGCGCTCAAATTCATCACTTGCACCATCAGCTCTGCTTCATTCTGGGGCCTGTTTGCTTCCCTTTCCCAACTTGACATCCATCTTTGCCACTTTTTTCATGTAAAAAAAGAAAAGAAAACAATGAATAAAATAATAGAAGAAAAAGTTTTGGACTTGATCCTGATGTTGACAAGTATATGTGCGCCTTTAATTTGATTATAATAATAAATAAATAAACGTGGGAAGTTTGGAATTAGATAACAATCATGGAGACCTTGTGTGTTCCTGCTATTTTCTTCGTATTCCATTAACCATGTAAGTAATTTGATGAAGGGTTGGCTGGCATTAATACGAGTATAGAAATAAGAAAACTCACGGCCTGACGCAAATCACGGACGGCTTCATGACCACGCGGCAAGGACGTCTGCGAGCCAAGGCTGTCAATGGTCCTAAGCAAAACTTCCACTAGTCTTTCTTTTGCCCTTTTCTCGTTTGACTCCCTGCAACACCCAACACAACACGGAATTGGTTGAAAGGACAAGCAAGGAATTAGCTTGTACTTTGTACGCACACAGATACGTACATGAATATTGAGGAATCTTGTTCATTGATGCCGAGATTGAATCTCTGCACAAAGGTTCTCCTAGTTTCTTCATCGTCAATGAAGGACGAGATTGTCTCAACTAAAACTGCTGTTTTAGACCATGCAAGTCGCTCTTGAGATCTCTCAGGCTCAAATATGCTTGCCGCACATACAAAATAAGCAGCAAGAAGAACTTCTCTGCTTAATCCAAACCCCTCCAGTCCATTTTCGGAGTACCACCTAATTCATATATATCATTGGGCCAAAAAAGGACAAGGTTAAAGCTCAATGACTGTTGTTTGTTTTGAAGCACACATGAATTGAAACATACTTGGGTTCATTTTACATACCCTTGGATTTCGCCCCATTCTTTAAAATGCAAAGCCTGGCAATTGTTGTAATCTAATTTTGCAAGTTCCAGATAAACCTCATTGTTCACGTATGGCATCCTGTCAAAATTAAGAGAGTAGTTTGATATATAAGATATGAATGTAGTTCAATGGCAAGTGGTAATTCTTGTTATGTCCTCTAACTTGGGGTGAAGAGTGCATAAATCCAGAATGACAGGACAGAACTAACTAGAGTACCTGTAAAGGGACTTGCCAATCCAGACATCATCTTCACCACCATACTGATCAATGTAGCATCTTGTTTCCAATCTCGGCAAGCTTGCATACCACGGCACGTCCAATGCATAACCCACCTGTGGGCTCGGTCTCTTTTTAGTTTCTTGCAAATTTACATTTCATGATATGATTTATATACTGAACCAACGGTTTTAATGACATAATTTAAGCTACACACCTCGCCAGGTAAATCCTTCATTATGATCCATTTATCAAGGAGCTGATTCTCAGCACGTTTCTGGGTTAAATACTTGGCTGAGAATTGCATGGCATCCTCGAGTACGTTCTCCCCCGGAAACAGCACCTGAGAAGCTCTGTACAGATTGAACATTCCTGTCACAGCTGTTGTTGACTGCCCCGCGAAGCAGAAGAATTCTCCATTTTTCTTAAAATTCTTGAACACGTCTATCAAAATTAATTGAACGGTGAGATTATATATATATATATATATATATAGCGCATGCAATAATATTGATTGACCTTACCGGCTGAAACTTGGTGGCCATGCAACCTCAGTAGTCTAAATCCCATTGCCGTGTCGTCAATATCTTGAACGTCTGAATTTCTTGCCCAGCAAATACCCTTCTCATTCCAATGCCTGAAATTTAAGTCACAGGCATGTATCTATATAGACAGATCACTTCTATCAGAAACATTAAAGCCAGTGGGTTATGAGACGTGGGCGATATACCTATAAATGTAAGTGATAACGTCCTTGATCTCTTGCTGAAAATATCTGGAAATTCCAAGGCGTTGCAGCCGATCAACAGCCCAAATGTGCTCAAACAAATCAACTGGGTACACATTGGGAACTGATAAAAAGAAGAAATTAAGATAACATAGTTATTACGTGTGGTTATTGGTATATTTTAAAAAGCCAATAAAGAACTGGAAAGTGATGAAACTAATACCTCCCCCATTGAACCTCTTGGTGATTCTGTCCAAGTATTTGAGAGAAGCTTCACTTCTGGTATGCATGAGGCCATAAGCAGTAGAAGATGGGGAGAATAAGAAGGAACCGTCCTGGGATTGCAGTTTCAGAAGCTCGTTCCACTCCAAATTTGGCATTCCCTCCAAGCTATGGAGCAGCGTTGTGGGCACTTTATGCATCATATCCCTCGGTATTCTTTCCCCCACATTACCCAAACAAACACAAGTTATAGATAACACTATCATAATGTATGTATATATTTCAAAGCCTTTCGTAAGCATTCATTTTAGTATATATATGAACTGAAGCCAGGGTCATGAATTATGAATCTTTACTTTTTGAGCTTGAGGTCTCTCATCTCAAAGATGCGCTTCAAGTAAGGAGAATCAGAATCATTGGGCACTTCAATGTTCAAACTTCGAGCTAAGTCAAGAAGTGAAGGGAAAGCAACTTCAAAGCCGATTAGCACATGCTCAGCATTCTCATCCTCGAGCTTGCTCAGGTTTTCATTGAAAAATTTCATTCCTGCATATGCAAATACACAATTAATTAATTAAAACGAATAGGATCAAGAGAATCACTAAACAAAGGTCTTGGTCATTGAATATGATGATGATGATGAATCACCTTTCTGGCACTTATTGGGATGAAGATTCCAAGAAGTCAATGCGATAACACAAGCTAATGTGTTAAGGATTCTGTCATGGGCTGAGAACAGAAGAGCATCACCCCATGAACCATCAGGGAGCTGATTGTTGGCAATCCATTCGAGAGCTGAAGGAAACTGAGGAGAATCAGACCCATCATCAGCTTTAACGAGAGCAACCCACGCTGTGCCATAAGCTGAGATGGATATCTCTCCATCTTCCATGGAGCTCAACATCATTTTCACAGCATTGATTCTCTTTCTGATCTCATTTTCCTCAGCAACCTTTCACATACATATATATGACCCCAAGATCAGATAACTTTACATCCATCATGCAGAAAATTAAATATAAATATCTGTTACTTATTTTATGCAGTTTAAAATTGAAGGTGGAGACTGACCTGATGAGGAGCAGATTCCTTATCATCCACATCCTTCACAGTCACATTCTCCGGAGTTTCAACACTTCCTTCAAATATGCAATTTTTTTAAAAAATACATATTGAAGCATGTATTCGTGCAGAGAAAAAAATTTGGCGTGGGTAATCAAACAAGAAATAAAAAACAAGTGGATGAGTATTGCGTTTCACTTAGTCTTGAGTACGTCAATTTATATATAGGCTTGTCTTCAACTGTCCATGTTAATTAAGCTGATTAATATATAAGTAACACACTTTTATGTCACAAAAAAAAGTGTTATAATTAACATGTATAGCTAATACCTTCCCTCATACCTCTTTTAATATAATCTTATCCTTTAAAAAATCAAGGTTAAAATATACTTTTAGTCTTATAACTATATATATGATTTTAATTTAATCTTTTAATTTTATAAAGTGTCTTTTTAATCCTTTAATCCTAACATCATTAATTTCAAGTGATTATTTTTTATATCAATCATTGTTATTTTGAAAAAATTAAGCTTAATATGTCAACATTTGAAAATGTTTTGCCAATATTTAAAAATTTAATATAAATATTTGTTGGAATAAAACTAATAACGTTAAGATTTAAGGACTAAAAATACACTTTATAAAGTTAAAGGACTAAAATAAAATGTTATGTAAAATTAAAAAAAAACTAAATGCATACTTTAGCCAAAAATCAATTAAAGACCTGATAAAATATTAAAAATAATACTAATTTCTATTACAAGTTTACTAAAATGAAACATTGTGTAAGATTAAAAAAACTAGATGCATATTTTAGCCAAAAATCAATTAAAGACCTGATAAAAAATATTAAAAATAATACTGATTTCTATTACAAATTTACAAAACATGTCCTTACTTAATTATTTCAATGTGGTGCAATTGTAAAGTTTATCGATTATATTATCACGACAACTCTTAGGCATTATTAAGTAATAATATAAAAAAAAAACTCCCATTGTTCACATTAAAAAATATTTTTTTAAGAGATCAGAATAAAACAAATGAATGTAGTGATTGAATCGAGACGAAGTTCCGGATCAATAAATAGGCAATTCATCAGGCCCTGGCTTGTTGGTGAGAGCATTTTGCTTTCACCTATCAAGCAATGAGTAGGACTTGGGCAGCGAGGACATATGGTAGCGGAACATAAGCAAAATAAAGGTGGTAAATAAACGGACCTTGAGAGCGAGATCTGGATATGGCATTAAATGTGGCTGGAGGAGGACCAATTGCAAGATGAAGACATGCGTCGTTGCTGGTTTTGAATGGCCTGATGCCTGCATCATGTCAACATCCCATATATCTCCAATTCTCACATATACATTAGCCCACGTCAACAGTATTCTTCTTCTTCCAGTATGTAGTTTTATTTCAAAATTGGATATATAGAAATATATATACACTCACGAATATACAACGACATGTAATTTCACCATATAGATCATATATGGAATTTGGACACAATTCCACTGCCATTTAATGTTAGAAACATAGTTAGAATCCTAGCTACAAAATGCTTCAATTCAAGTGGTTCTCATAGGTTTAAATTCAGTAAGTGATTTAAATTCACTCATTCAATGAGCATCTGAATTATAATCATTAAATTTAATCAATATTTTAAAATTATCAATATATATTTTTCTTTAAAAATTTAAAACAATTATCATGATACTCCTTTTCTCTTAAGAAATTTAAAATTTAATATTTTTTTAATATTATATGACAAAATTTTTTATAACTGTTCGATTAAATCAAACAACTGTTATTGTATAATATAAGACATTTATTAAATGAGTGAACTCATATCCCTTAATAAATTTCAATCTATTATCATGCACAAAAAGATTCTATCACTGGACTTCACATCATCTACTTTTACATGTGAATTACAAGCCTTCGTGTGTTGCAATAAAAAATAGCCTTTCAAATTTTTTTCTTTGTAAATAAATCATCAAGTATTTGGATTGGCATTAGACTCCAATTAATTTGGACTGAATCCCAAATAGAAATAGTCCTCTTAAAAACAATTTTGTATTCACATTAACTTAAACTCGAATCATCTTACTTAAGAGTTAAGACTCTATCCATTGGACTAAAGCCCACTTGTGGTGTTTCATATGAATTTGATATATAATAATGCATCGTGTGATATAACGTTAATGATATCAAATCAAAAATTGGTGACAAAACTTGAACCCTGTGTGGGTATTTTAAACAAATAAAGAAATGATGATTTTTTCAAAGAAGAAGAAGCATAGAGATGAGAAGATAACTAACCAACGGAAGAGAGAGAGGGAAGAGGACTAGAAGAGAATGGAAAGCAGAGAATGGGTTTAAGGGTTGCACAAGCATGCAGAAATAGCCCTGAAGACATGGTCGATGATCTTTTTTAGTGTAGCTTATAGGATCTGAATCCCCTCCTTGTTCTCCTTCGATTTTTCAAACCAAAAGCAACACAAGAGGTGTATATATACATATAAGTATTTTTGAAACGATACATAGAAGAGGGTCAATGACAGTTACACCACTGTTCAGAACATTAACGCACATGGACGTGTTAAACATTAACTGGGAGGAGAAACATCGTACCATTTTGGTTTCTATATATTCTGATACTATTTATTCATACTATTTTTTAAATAGAAAGATATTTAAAAAACAAGATACCCTTCGTGAAATTCACATACAGAAATACGACCTTTGATTCTCTTTTTATCTCTTTTCATATCATGCCGCTATACTTTTTCTCGCAAGATAAAATATGTTGATTGGTAAGAATGTTTCCCAGTAAATTATTTACTTTTTTTTTTGGGCTTTTTTGTTCGAGAGAGAGAGAGAGAGATAACTGATTTTTTTTTTTTCCTTTTGCCGTTGTGTCAAGATATCCATGAACACAAGAATAATTAAAATTCTCGTGCCGAAAAAATATAATCTACTACTATAAATTCCATGATTTACATAGAAAGAGAGAACAAAATCAGGTCCAGCTAGTAATGCAAGATTTAAAGTTAATTATTGCGCATTTCTGTTGAAAAGAGAAAAGCACAGTGCCTCGCATGCATGTATGTTATGGGATATTCCCAAAATTATATGGTTCATGAACTTATGCAAATTCATTCAAACTGCATTAACTTTTTATGGCCAATATTCAAGCTATATCAATTAATACTGATTGAGATTCACTTTCACCATGTATCTTAGCCTGAGAATTAATTAAGGTGCATGCATATATTTTTATAATTACTCCTGTGAATGTAAAGATATTACTAACATGCCCTTAATGCATGCATTAAATTTATTTTTATTTATTTATTTTAATTTTTCTCAATTTAATTTTTAAATATTTTTAAAAATATTAAAGTCCTATTGAGAATAAGATCACAATTACTCACTGAACCTATTCGAACTCATAACTTCACAATTAGGAATATAGAGTTATGGTTTATCTAATATTCAAATTTAGAGTCAGTTTTGAGCTCTCAGTATGCAATAGCTATTAAATTTTCAGTCGGGGTATTCTTAAAGAGGTGCTGGTATAAGTAGCTGACTCGATTAATTTAATTCAAAGACCTAGGACATTGAAACGAAAACAAAAGAGAGAGAGAGAGAGAATTATTATCAACTTATTATCTTTTTAGATCACCCAATACCTTAAACAAGCTCGAACAATAAAAATGGAGTTGAGTGTGACATGTGAGCAATGATGAAAGCGAGTGTTATAAGAATCAAATAGGACCTGTTGAATCAAGAATCAATCCTAAATTCAATATGGTCATAACAAAAAACTGCTTATTTTGATCAGTCAAAAATCAATAGAACCAATGGGCAAATTAGTTGAACCTGGTGGCAAACCAAGGACCTATGATTAATGGGGGCATTTAAAAAAATAAAAAAATTAAAATTTTATTATTTAAATACAATATGCTTAACTTTAAGATTAAGTTAAACAAAATTAATTAAATAACCATGTTTGCACTCCTCTATTCAAAATATAGGAATAAATTTAAATTTTAATACTATACTAAAGCATTACTTTTTTAAATTGAGGAAGATTGACATTTTAAGTATGGGTTTAAAATCCTAAATTTTGCGGGGCAAAGTGTAAAATTTTCTTACACTAAAATGCAATATTTTCAAGTGAGTGCCCCCACATGCATATAGGCTTGTCATTAGTTGAATTGGTCTTGTTATTTTTTTAATTTTTTAAATTTTAATTAACATCTATAAGCAACAATTTATACATATTTATGTCTATAAATTTTACATGTACGTTGGGCTAATCCACCAGGGTTTTTTTTTCTGTGACTTTTATGTTTCTTCGTTTGTTTCTTAAGGGCCCCAATTGCAAGACCTTTTATTTTGTTAAATAAATTACCTTTTATAAAAAAATTATAAATGGAGAAAAATGTACAGAACTCAAAAAAATATGTATAGAATATATGTATGTATACGTACATATTGAAGTTATTAATTATAAATCATGAAAGAAGTATAAATATTTTGAACTAAAATGATGGGATATTGATAAACATTACCTTTTTATTTCATATTATTTATTCTGAAATTTAAAAATTCATTTTTATTATTATATATAATTATTTCAGTTTATTTGATACATATATTATTTAAAATATATTAATTTATTTACGACTGGTTGAACCATGAATCAATACTTTGTTTCATTCAATGACTGGTTTGGTTTTCTTAGCATTAACTAAAACTTAAATTTAAATTCTCATAATATAAACAAAGACAATACAATAAACAGAATGTTAATATTTTCACAATTAATGGCAGAAACAAGCGCATTGTTGGACTAGGGCCTGCAACCTTCGCGTCCCTTAACATTAGTTTATTTTTAATAATTAATGTTAGGTATTAGTTACTTTTATGATGAAGTGGGGTATGTGTTATGATAAAAAAATTGAGATGCAAGTTACATGGGCCTCCCTCCTCTTACACTCGCGTATTTTATTTAACATTAGTATATTGATCAATGTTTTGTTTATTTAACATTAGCATATTAAATAAGATAATATGTAATACTAGTGTATTAAACATATAATTATATTATTTTTCATGATTTAATTTTCATATTAGTTTAAGTACATAAAAAATTTAATTGCATATCTGGAATTGATATCTCGTATTCCGGTATATATTAATTAATTTTTTGTAAATTTTAAAGATTTTTCTCAGCTCTTTATTCAAATTATCAATATAAAATGAGATATAATAATTTATACAAAATATAATTTTTTATACGCACTTTATATTTTTCTCAGCCCTTAATTTTTTATAACATTAGTGGGGCAACGCTAAGACCGTGAACTAATTAACGAGTTCATAATAAGGATATGAGTTTGGAATAGTTTAAATTATAAAATATGGAGCTTATAACCAGCTGCTTATGCTATAGAGGTATTATGTTACTTGTCGGGCAAAGAGGGTAGAAGCTTGAGGGTTGATTGGGCCCGAAACAGTGTGACCTTCGTTGAGAAATAAGGAAAATAGAAGCTGGGCTCATTGCCGGGCTAGCCCATTTTAAAATACGACCCAACAGCTTAATTCCGTTAATCAGGTCTCTTTAATTAAGAGATCAGCAGACAGCGACCTGGGCTAACACAGATGATAAGGATTAAACTTTTGAGGAAGCAGGGGAAGGACATCATAATACGTAATGCCTCTATCAGGTGGCCAGCTTCCAGATAATTAAGGACCATAAGGACTCCGACCATTATTTGAAAAGGGCTTTCATTTGAGGAAATATTCGGGAGAGACCTTTTTCATGAAGCCACTTCCTCTTGCCGCGCGCTGCGTCCCTTCCGCTTTTGGGTTGGAATCCTCAGTCGCCATACACATCGTCTCTATTCATAATCAACCAGATTTGGACTCACATTTTCCCTTCAATGACTTGCACAGTCGGAGATACCACATCTTTGTATATCCAATATTAATATGAGTATGTAACTACATATAATATTTGATATCTGGTCCAGTATATATATGAGAGATCTGATCTTACACGTGATTCAGCATTTGGAATTCCAGATCATTGAAGGTAGCAGCCGGAGAGACATGAAGATCGTCCCAGATGTTTTTTCCCTCACCTGTTGACCCTATTTCCTGGTTTCTGACACTCTTTCAAATGAAATATATATATATATATATATATGATCATCATTAAATAATTAGATATCACGCCCTGCAACATTATTGTTAGTGATTTCTATGTGATTCGCCTCGAGATTTTTCCAACCGTACGTTGCAAGGCCACCTCCTTATAGAGCTTGGCAAATCAGGTTCTCTTCACTCTTGCTGTGATCAATTGAGCTTCATTATATAATTCATTTCACCTATTCGATCCGCTGCTGCTTCCATTCCTACATGGTTTACAACATGTACTTTATTTTGTCAGGGACGTCCCTGCTCACGGCAACTTTAAGTACACTGCGCGGTAAAAAAAACTCGAGGGTTTGACGTGGAATTGATTTAGAGTTATTAATAATGATTGGATAATAATGCCAAACATGGTTCTTCATAGGCAGGGGGCGCATGATGGCACGCAGCTCACTATCACATGCATCTAAGGCTTTAAAAATTTTGGAGTCACGTGCCGCTGGCACTAGTGATTCAAGTGAGATATTGGAGATATTTTTTTGTTTGTTTGATGAATCCAATTCAGTAATTGATAAATATATTTTCCAGCGCAGGGAGTGCAGTTTCAAAACCTATTACCAGGAAAATTCCAACTGACTTCGCTCTAAATCTGAATCTGAGAGGATGAAATTAAATATCAATGAATAGAGGTTTTGGGGGGACCGAAGATGAAAACCGTAAATGAGGAGGCAGCGGCGGCTAGAGCAGTGGGTGAGCCGGTGAGGAGTGAGGAGGAGAAGCGAAAGCCGAGCCGACTCAAAAGCCGAGGTTCGTGCTTCCCGCAAGCCCATGACAACACGCGTGCATCCACGTGCATCCACAGTCCTAACACGTAAGATTCGCCCCGCTACTGGACTAGCCCCTCTCTTACGAAATTAAATATTGCTAATGTACATCATGTAGTTATATAATGAAACCAAAAGCAACGCACTGTCAAATACATAATATTAAAAACAAACCAAAAAAATCAAGAGACAAGGACAAAGAGGGTCGCCTATATAACCACCCCATTCCCCCGACGCCCCTTTCAGGCTTTCACTCCTTCATCCTGTGTTTTTAACTCTCACCATCACCAACTCACAGTCCTCCTTCAGAGAGAGAGAGAGCGATTTTGAAGGGGAGAGAGAACTAGCATTGATCAGCCATTAATGTTCTTCAGCACCAGAGCGTGAATAGTCCTTTGCTTTTTCGCCTTTCTCTTGCTTTACCGCGCACACGCTGCAACTTCGACCCCTCTCCGCCTGTCTATTTATATAGAGCTTTAATTTTGATACAGCTGCCCACTGTGTGCCAACAGCGAGGGAGCAGATGGAGCTCAGCAAGGTGACGCTGGAAATCTTCTCCAAATTGGAACAGAAATGGCTTTCTCACTGTGAAACCTCCAAGAAAACTCGCATTCTCAGTATCGACGGTGGAGGAACCACCGGCATTGTAGCCGGAGCCGCCCTCCTCCGCCTCGAGGAACAGATCCGTCTCCAGACCGGCGATTCCGACGCTCACATAGCCGATTTCTTCGACATCGTTGCGGGCACTGGCATTGGCGCCATCCTCGCCGCCATGATCACCGCCGACGATGGCTCCGGCAGGCCTCTCTATACTGCTAAGGACGCCGTCCACGTCATCACCGAGAGGAATTCGGAACTCTACAGGCCTAAGCCGCCGGAGTGTTTCGCCGGCGCCGGAGACTTTCTTCCAGGAGCATGGATAGCGTGTTGAAGCAACTCTTCCAGAGAAGAGAGGACGGAAAGTTGTTGACCTTGAAGGACACGTATAAACCCCTGCTCATCCCTTGCTTTGACCTCAAGAGTTCGGCGCCATTCGTGTTTTCCAGGGCCGACGCGTCAGAATCGCCGAGTTTCAACTTCGAGCTCTGGAAGGTATGCCGCGCTACCACAGCCACGCCCAGCCTCTTCAAGCCCTTCCACTTTACTTCCGTCAACGGAAAGACCAGCTGCTCAGCAGTGGACGGCGGCCTGGTGATGAACAACCCAACGGCGGCGGCGGTGACGCACGTGCTACACAACAAGCGGGATTTCCCGACGGTTAACGGAGTGGAGGATCTCCTGGTACTGTCCCTAGGCAACGGCGCGTCAGGCGGAACACGGGGGCAAAAAATAAGTGACAATGGGGAGTGTTCGACGTCGTGCGTGATCGACATTGTGGTGGATGGAGTCTCCGAGACGATCGACCAAATGTTGGGGAACGCCTTCTGTTGGAACCATACGGATTACGTAAGGATCCAGGTACTTGCAGGGAGACTCGGTTTGACTTCACAGAATAGTGTTTGGTTTCTGATAAAAAATAAAATGAGGAAAGAGAATTACCCTGACATGTCTTTACCTTCACCATACAGTGAAAACAGTGAAGGGAATTTCAATTTTTCAAGGGGAAAAAAACTTACATACGCGTGTGTATGAATTTTGAAATGAATAATTGATTGACTGATTGTTTAATGAATGTGTGCAGGCGTTGGGTTTGGGAAGGACGAGAGAGGAGGTGCTGAAAGAGAGAGGACTAGAGTCACTAGCGTTTGGGGGAAAGAGGTTGCTGAAAGAGAGTAACGAACAGAGAATCGATAGCTTCGTGCAGCGTCTTGTCGCTTCTGGAAAGTCCAGCCTCCCGCCTAGTCCCTGCAAGCATTCCGCCGTTACTCCTCTCGCCGTCGCTGAGGCCCGCTAGTTCTATTCTTTCTTTTTTTTTCTCCCTCTCTTTCTTGGGGTTAGATTTTAACTTTGTACCTTGTAAGTTGTAATGTTGTAAGTTGTAACCTACCTCAGGTTATGGCCCAAGAAAAGAAATGAAAGCCTCAGGTTTTTTACTTCGGCTAAATGCCAGTTGTCTTGGTTAACTTCATCAATTTGCTCTGCGGTCACGGTTGTTAATCATGACAGTGACGATGATGAGGGAGTTTTCCTTTACCCTGGGACACTACAAATCCTTCCGGACTAGTTAATTACCGTTTCTTGTCAATTTCCCAAAATTGTCTGCGCAGATTGTGGAACACTACCTGACTTGACCAAAACCGTTTGATTTTTTTTTTCTTTTGAGCCTTAACTTTTATTTGCATTGGAAAAATGGACAATATGTTATTAAAAACATAGGAGTCCCGATGGCAGGTGAAGGATAAATCATTAAACGTTGGATGAGCAGTCACGGGTGGTCATTAATTTCATAGGATTCTTGGGACCAATTGACTATTCTCTCGCAATGTCTTGCGTGTTGTTACTGCGCTAGCAATTCCTTCAGGAGATTAATATAGTACGGTGACAATATCTCTAAATCAACACTCGTAATTGACGGTTAGTTACTCTTTTTTGACCATTTTTTGACCTGGGTTCAGAAGATAAAAGTGATTTCATCAGCCCCAGCAAGCATCCCAAGAGCCAAAATTACAGCCTTGCCAGTGTTAGTTAAAGTTGTTTTACAAGGGGGGAAAATAACCGTACGGCAACGAGACCAACAAGGGCGTGTTGACGTGGGAAATCGCTCCTGCTCCTTTTGCAGGATTCAAAGACAGAGCAAAAGGGAACCCAAATCACAAACTTTAGGTGCGAGATTGATAACGCTGTAACCAACAAGGACACTTCTTCATAATTCCCCCCCATGTCACAAAAGCTCGCAATATTTGCAAGGCGTGCAGAGAACCCACCTTCCCCCCCCCCCCCTTTCATTTTTCTACTTTTCAGTGTTACTCATTTATAGAATGCTCCTCTGAACCATCCTGGCGCTTCTTCTGGTAGGTAAGTTTGGTGAAGGCAGTTTTAGTACATCTTCCTCCAGCCACCCACACTGGCTCTGCTCATGCCACGGCATTAAATAGCCTCTAATCTCTTGTGCTTTACGTCACTTTCTGTCGTTGGTTTTGCCTGTGGGACTTTCTGATATTTTCTCCGCGCCTGCAGGATGCTTTATACAGCAAGTTAGGTAGTACTGTGCTCCAAAACACTCACTCCTCTGCCTCATTACCATTGATTCCCTGATAATGACAACAGGTAAGACAACATTTCCTGGCTAAACTATGGAAGAATCGGGTGTCTCTGAGCATCCTTTTACCCCAACCTGTGATGGATGTAGGACTCCGCATTGTAATATACTAGTGGGGTCTGACTCTGCATTGGGTGTTTCAGAAAATAGGGTTGGTGGTGGACCCTACGCTTTTTTCCACCACTGTACTTTGTGTGTTTAGTTACATTTCGAAGGAGAATTTGCATTGCATCGCATGGCAGTCCTTTACTTGGGCAGGGCCCTAATCTCATAAATGGCTTTCCCTTTAGGAAGCTCCCCTCCTCTCTGCGCAGTTTCGCTGGGGGAAGATTTGTTTTCCCTGTTCGTGCTGATCAGGTAATGAGGGATAGTGGAGGCGTAGGTTCTGGAATCTGACTCGCCTTGTTTTGAGAGTGTTAATCGACTTCGCTAGCGGGGTAAACAAAGACAAGAGGCCGAGATCTGTAGTAGTACTGGATCTGATTCCGTCTGTCGATTAATAAAGTACAATAATAATGCTGGAGTGAAATTAATGTCCTGCTCCCGACCATATAAAACTCTTCCCAATTTATACGCCTAACCAGTCAACTTTAACTACCATTACCGAATACCATTCTTTATACATTAAAACACTCGGCTTCGTGAATTAGAAGTTTTTTTCGGGGAGAAAAAAGAACTCTCCTCGTTGCATTTTCTTTTTCCTGTTTTGAGAAGATTCCCTGATTTCCATGGTTTGAGCTCTCGCACTCAGAATATCCAAAATCGGGAGACATGAAGAAGGAAGTATGAAAACATTTCAATTTTGTTTATTTATTATCCTTTCTCGGAGAAAATATATAATCCGACATACTTTTACCCTCATCAATCTCATCTAAAAATTATCTTACAATAACTAACAGAGGCGGTATGTTTACCGTAGAATAAGAAAGATAAACAAAGAACTATGTACAGAGACGGAAGGGCGAGATCAATATTAAAAAATATAAATAAAAAAGGACTTTCTCGAGCCATGGACTCGGAAGCTGAGATCGGCTTAGCCGCTTAGGTGCAATGGCAGGAGGGGTGATGCCAAGGACTATCTGACTAGGCGAGTCCGGCCGAATAGGGAAGTGGGTCTCAAATCTTTGGGTCATCCCTACCCTAATGGCAAGCCCCACCCCATTTTTTTTTTTTTTAACCAGACAATTAAAAATAATAATAAAATATGCACTTTTATGAAATTAATTAACAGCTGTGGTGTGGAGTGAGGGATTTACAGGCCGTTTTATTTTAGCTGAGCTCAAATTAAAAAAGCATAAGAGTCCAAATACGTCACGAGAATGTGGTGGACTCAGATTTTCTTCTTAGTCCTTAGTCTCTCACATCCTGGCTTTTGTTTTAAATTGCTTGCTTTCACCTCACTTGCACTCGCATCATCAAAGGCGTTTGCTTCCCTGCCTCCTTCCTCCACTCACCAAGCTTCCATATATGTTTAATTATAATTCACTCTCTTAACTAACTGCTCATTGATTGATTATTATGTCAACAATTATAATCATACTTATGTCTTTTAAATAATTTAAATTAAACATCTTTTAATTTTCTTCTAGAATCTAAACAAAAAGTTTCATGCGTTGAGCATTATTATATACCAGTCTGAGATTTAAATATTTTGCCTAAAAAGCTCAAATTACAATTGAAAAAAAGCATAACTTATTCTAAATTTTACTCTAACCACACAATCATGGGGCTAATTAAGCACTATCATAGAGTAAAGCTGGTTGGGCCACACACACGCAAGTGGGTGTCCTGATCGAGGATCTCCAGCATTTTTATAAGCAGCCTCCTGTCCTGGTTGGTTTATTTAATACTTACACTGAAAATAGGGGTAAAGACGTAAAGTAATGACTAATTAACAAATCGCACCACGGAATAACTGTTGCTGTGGTAAGTGGGAACTTTTCAGTCGCAAGAAAAGGGGGTAACTTTTCAGGGGCACTGGAAGTCGCAATCTCATGTCAAGTGAATATAAAAAAAAAAAAAATTAATAATTTGATCTTTCAATTTCAACTCGTGGCGACTCAATGTTGTAAGTTTGGTTCATTTGAAAACTTTATTCTTATAGCTAACGGATCCAGTGAACCATGCCTTACGTTGCTAACGGAGTTAATTCCGTTAAATTTCACGGAATTCAGTAAGCCGTGAGGTGTTTTTCACGTATGGTTTTTAATTTTGCCTTGATTCCTTTCAGTTGCCACATGTTGACTATGAGGTTGTCTTGATTTAGATGCCATGTACGGATTTAACTTCGTTAGCGACATATAATCATGGTTTATAAGAACCACTAATAAACTTTTTAAACGCGCCAAGCTTGAGAGATTAAGTGGCAACTAAGTTAAAAATTTAAAGAGTTAAATAATTAATTTTTTTATAAAAATACAAATATCTTTTATCTAATTTTTATTCAAAATATACTTGGTATTTATAAAAAAAAATTATTTCATTTCATATATTTATTAACCTAGATTCCTGTGTTTCTAAATTTATAAAATTCTTCTAGCTTACCGTGAATTATAACCAAAACTAAAGTGAAAACAATAGCAGGGATGGAGCCCAAAATTTCAATTAAGAGGCCAAGATCATAAAGTATATATTGTAATTGAAGAATATATATATATATATATATATATAACTCACATAACATAAATATCTCAACATACATATTTATGTTCAATTTTACAAATATAGAACCAAAAAAACCTTTCAACAATCTCTTTTTCAATATAAACTATTATCAAATAGGTGAAGAACCCGTTTTCCATTTTATTGTAAAGCCATGAATCAATAATTTTTTTTTTTAGACATCAATCAGTTACTCCTAAAAAATATGGATTGTAGAATATATTATGTAAAATATTAAAAGGAATAAAAAACTAGAAAAAGTCATAACACAATTGGAGATTGGAGTGGTTAACCTTAGCATTGTCCTTTACATGTGCTTTGTTTGTACTCCCTTCATCCCATATATAAAATATTTTTAATTAAATCATGCGAACCAATAAAATTAGTTATCTAATTAAAAGTAAGGTAACATTCTAATTTTACCTCTAATTATTATAAATAAAAAATAAATCTATTTTTCAAAGTAAATTAATGAGAGTACTTATTTTTTTTCTCTTTTCAATTTAATAAAAGTATAATGGTCCATTCATTAAAAAATATGCTAACAACCCCTTATATTTAGAAACAAAAAAAGATTCTAGAAGACTTCTCATATATATAGAGATGAAGAGTATACTACAATAGTCATGAGATTGAGATTGCGGCGAAAGTCATAAATTTAACAAGAAGGAGATAAAAACAAGGAGAAAGGGAATACCGAAGGCCAGAGCATAGAGGGATTGCTTTAATTTATTGATTCACCCAATTCAGTCGAAGTCACTGCTCAATTGACAATGGGATAGTAGGATTGCTTGAATATTTGATAATGGGGCGGTGACAATTCAAATTCTCATACATAGCCTAGCAAATAACGTATATTCCTCAACTCAAACGAGAAAACTTACCCAATATAATATGCTGTCTTTATACATAAAGAAAATTTGTTTTTTAGATATTAATTTTTCCAAATTTTTATATATTGGTTTATATTTATTAAAAAAGTAGATCTTATGTTTAGTATCAAATACACACAAATAACTCTTGGTGGACCAAAATATATAACTCGTGTGTTTTATTAAGAAAAAATTTAGAAGTGTGGCCCCCAATCCACCCTTGTCTCCACCATTGAACAATATTACCCCAATTCTTAATATAAAACAATTAACAAATTTTGTCCTTGTTACAAAATGGTAG